CCCCACCCCTTCCCCCGTCTGTAGCCTCCGTTTCTCTCCTCTTTGCCCCATAATGGATTTTTCTTGTGACGTTAGAAAGAAGTATTTGCTGCTGGAGTGTATTGATTGCTTTAATGGCAGGGAGCAAAGAGAGGGAGAGAGAGAGAGAAAGAGGGGACTGGAGACATAGAAGAGTGCACACAGAGTCCATTAGCTTAATAAGAAGAGCATAACTCGCACAGACAAAAATACACAAGCACATGAAGTACACACACATACATGCGTGTGCACACACTTATATATGACTTCCTTTGTCCTCTGATATGACAGGTATCAGATAACAGCTGCCATGCTCCACTGAGTACAAGAAAATGCAGCGTGGGCATTTTCTTGTGTGTTCATGTCATGTCAGTTCATGTTCAGTTTTGCTCTCTGTGCATTGATTATCATCTGACAGCTTAATGGGTTTCATTTCAATAATACACATGAAGCTTAGACTCTGCAAATTAAGAGCTTTCTACTAGATCAAGATGCAGTGAAATTAAATCTCATTATTCATATGGTTTGCTGTTAATATCATTACTCAAATGAAGTTGAGTCATACTTTATTAGTGCAATGGAAAACACAGGAATGGCAGAATTTTCCAAGTGAACAAATGTAATAAAATATAACTTAAAAATAAGTGCTTACAAATTGTTATACATTCTGATGTCAGCTACAAATGATCTTGTTGTACATTTCTGTCATGTGTAGACTCCTGATTGGTGATTCACACTGTTTATTGTGCTGTTTTTACAGGCAGTTATGGCTATTTTGAGTTGTTGTACTGATGTATATAGGACGCAGTTAATCACAGTGGTAGTAGTAGTAATATTAATAGTGGGAATCATATTGGGAATAGAAGCAGTAGTGTTGGCAGTAGTATATGGAATATGTCTCAACCACAGACATAAGGATAAGTGTAGAGATGTTTTTATTTTTAACTGTAAAATGGTAAAATGTTTAGTTATTGTAAGTCACATTAATACCTGCTCTGATGGATGTTTTGTGTGTCCCACCAGGCGGAGTGGAGAGACGAGGTGAGGCACCACTTTGAGAAGATCAAGTCTGAGGGCACGTGTCTTCATAGGCTGGATGAGGAGCTGATCAAACGACGCAGAGAAGAACTCAGGTTAGCCGAGCAAATGCAATGAGGACACAAAATGAGAATGATCATAGGAGGAGAAGCTAAGTGTTGAGAATTTGGTAGTGGAAGAGTGGTTACGGGTACGGTAGCGTCTGTGTATTTATGTTCCTCTCAACATTTACCCTCCACTCAGACATGCACTGGACATCCGGGAGCACTATGAGAGGAAACTAGAGAGAGCCAACAATCTCTACATGGAGCTCAGTGCCATCATGCTGCAGCTGGAGATCAAAGAGAAAGAACTGCTCAAGTATGAAAACACAGACAATGAGTTGTATTTACATTCTGTTCTAAGTAACAGACAAATCCGCTCATGGTTAGAAACAACAGACATAGGGGTTGTATATTGTATTAAAGTCCTACTTTCTACAGAATTGTAACATTACACCAGTAACATAAAGAAAAAAATGGGTTTAATAAATCAAATCCAGTGCACTAACAGCTGGTTGGTTGAACAGTGTATTTGTAATGATAGCGAAATGGAAGGTTCATCCATAATGTGAAACAAATGGCCATTATATCCAGTCAAACAAGGTCATTGCATGTAACAAAGTGCTCTCTCGTGCCTATCCTTTGAAATTCATTAAACAAATATTGGCTTGTGTTGAAACATCAGGAGGGAGCAGTCACTGGACAAGAAGTACCCAGGCTGCTTCAAGCACCACAGTCCCAGGCAGTCAGCCTCCTACAACTCCATGGAGAAACTCATGAAGAAACGCAACGTACCTCAGAAACTACCCTCACACAGCAAGAGGTGAGACAGGAATGGTGTCTTTCATATCTGTAGCATTTACATATGGATGGTTTGAAGACGCTGCACATGAATATTACGTCCACCCCAAAGCTATGTTAACTGATATAGAAGAAAAAAAATTGTTGAAGAATTTAATCTTCCAATTTGTTTTTTAAGTTAATTCTGTCTCTGTCCATTACAGACCAGACTTACTAAAGTCAGAGATCATCCTCCCCAAACTGGACTCATCCATGACCCAGGTCACAATCCCCAACAAAGGCTCTACCTCCCCTGGCCGCTCACGCCGGGGAAAACCCCGCTACAGAAAGGCTGGAAAAGGCAGCAGTGGGGACTTGGCTCAGCTAAAAGCTACCCTGTCTTCATCTTTAGCCATGGTCAATGCCACATCCTCTGTTCCCAGCAGTAAGCACCATCTAGATCCAAGTGCAGCCCTCAGAGGCTTGCAGCATGACCTGCTGCTCAAGAAGATGTCCTCCTCTAGCCCTGATCTCATTTCAACCACCCTGGAAGCTGAAGGCCGGAGAAAGGGGCAGGTGAGGCCAGGGCTGGACAGAGCGGGCAGTCAGAGTGCCTCAGCCGGTCTGGGGGAGAGCAGAAGGACTGAGGGGCCAAATGTGGGTATAGGGACAGATGACCTGGTAGAAACACCTCCACGCAGTGACACGCCTAGCGAAGATGCAGCTTCTATTCCGTTCTCCAGTAGCCCTGACTCGCCATGTGGCAGAAGGGCAGCTTCAGGCAGGGCGTCTGTGCTCGGGAGCCCCCATGTCCCCCAGGAAGGCGAGGAGAAGGAGGATGGGACAGTGATCACGCGCTCACCCAGAAGTCAACGCCTCACACCTGCAGCACTGCTATATCGGGCAGCAGTCACACGGAGTCAGGTGAGACTTCGACAGCAATGACAAATTACGTCTACTGACTGTGGCCCAGTTTCATAAAATTATTTTGACTTCTGCCTTGAAAGGAAGCAAATATTAATTAGCACTAAGATGCTCTGGAGAAATCAAACCCTTTTATATTTCATTTGCTGTCAGTTAAGCAACATGCAGTGTTCAGATCAGTATTTCAAAGAGATGTGTTAATAAAAGAGATGGTGACTTTACTCTGCAGATCAGAGACAATAAGTTCCCTCCTTTCAACAGTGTTGACTCAACTTCAATAACCATACTTGTACACTCATATTTACCTAAGCCTCTGTGCTCATGATCCACTCACACAGGTGTTTACAGTTATTTCAGTGAACCTCAAGGTGGGAGATCTCAAAACCTCTACTGGCTTGGTTTTCTAACAGTGGTATGTTTCCAGAGTGTCATCAAGGGTAGATGATGGCTCAGGAGTGTTGGCAGGATGGTGGGCAGGTAAACAGGTAAACATTGATGTTTCATACTTAAATATTCTTCACAGAGACGTGGATTGTCATCAGAGGAAGAAGAAGGAGAAGTGGACAGTGAAGTGGAGTTGCCAAGAAGAAGGTAAGAGTTGTTAAACATAAGATACACAGTAAGTAAGTAAGACCAACCTACAGTAGTTACATTTAAATCTGTGTATCTGTGCAAAATGTTCATCACATTCCAAGCTCCCACCCAGTCGCACAGGTATTTTAATATATTTAGCCTGATTAGACTTCCTCTCAGACATCACACTAACTCCCCTGTTAGTTTGTTGTGCTTGTAAGGGTAAGAGAAATTAGACCTTTATAAATTCCCAGCGTGGCTTCACTTAACATGATTAACTTGAATAACTGCATCATGTTGAGTTTGTGTCTTTACTGAGAAGCACTTACAAAATCTTTATCAGTGTATTGTCTCTCTCCTATTGTGTTGCCTCTCAGGCGTCCTGTGAGCATGGCCAAATGTCAGTCGCTGTCCACCTTTAGCTCAGAGAACTTGTCGGTCTCAGATGGCGAGGAGGGAAATACGACTGACCACTCCCACAGTGGCACACCAGACGTGGTCAGCACCAACACTGATGAGCGTCTAGACGACAAGAGTGACGACCTGCTGTCTCAGGGATCAGAGATTCCCGCTGACCCATCTGACCCAACCCAGATGGGCTCCGACGGATTGTCTGAGAAGGAGGCTATTCTACGACAAGTCAAAACCCAGCTTACTTCAAATGACCATAATTATGAGGTAGGCAAAAAAAGAGTGGCTGAACAGAAAGAGACAAAATGGTAGTCAGATATACAGTATGGTATAGTGACATGCAGATTTAGGAAACTGATCAGTCGACAGATACTACAGAATGGTAAGAAAACACTACTTCATGTTGTTGTAACTCAAATAATTCATGCTTTTGCTCCAAACCAGGGTCAGTATGATGACTCGGACTGTGACAGTGCAGAGCTGGACCATTCAGGCAGTGCAGAGCCCAACCAACCTCCAACCAACTGGTGATAGCTTGACACCTCAACCCACTCTGAGAACTACAGAACATAGGAAACACTGAGTCATGATCAGGGACATTGTAGAGTGGCAAGAAGTGAAGGTCTGTCTCTTTCATCACAAGCAGGAATACAAATCAAATCCTTGGAAAATGGTGAGTGCACTCAAAGAACTGATACCCTGGAAAAACAGAAAAATCGTTCGTTTTGAGATAAATAAATCAATCAATGAAAGTGATTTGGGGCACAGAGTCAAGCTGCCTTTTATGTTCCATCCAAAGCAATTGTATGGCGCCTCAGCAACAGAGGCTTCAGTCAAGAGGCCATCTACACAGCCATCTTTTCATGTCCCGTGTCATCCTTCATGACATTTTTAATCTTACCTCTGTCACAAAAATGTGTCATATTATTTCAAGTTGTGTCATATGAGAATATGATTATGAAATCCGATCAGGGCTTCTGTTATGTTTGAATGTTTCGGCCACTGATGTTGCATCTTGCACTTAATTTATGAAATATCCCAATGTCCTCTTGATCATTGTGTCATATCCTCTCAAGACGTTATGCACTGAATAATTTATAGTTGATTTACAGTGAATTCACTGATATTTTTTTAAAAAACAAAGTTTACATTTTTCATTTGTGTTTACATTTTTTTATATTTGCAGCATGGGTTATATGTTGACATTTTCTACTTTTGTGTTTTAATATGAATGTAAATATGTGATGTAAAATGAACAAATTTTTAAAATGTGATTGTATAATTTAAAGGTGCTGATGTTTCTAATTAGGTGGCATTGCTCTATTTGAATTGGTAGTAGAATGTACTGTAGCTGCTGTTCATGTTTGAGCATCAAAACACACAGAACAACAACATGTGAACAAGGAAAAAGCAATATGTCTGCTCTGGTATGGTATGTCCTGTCAGGAAGCATATCTGGCTTTTATCAGGGTAGGTGTGCTTTTTTTTTTTTTATTAGCATTGCAGTGTTTACTGTATTAAATTGCAATACCAATTTGAAAATCCTATTCTGAGCATCAGGGGGTATATATAGCACCAGAAAAGTATGCCTGTTAAAAACTATGACTAGCCTAATGGGTATTTGTGAGTTAATAACTGTCACGCTGTGTAACTTAGACCCATCCATGAAGGACAAATGCGACAAGAAAAAGGAATGTAAATTTTTGGCAGACATATATTTAGAAATTCAAGTTTAATGACTGAAGGCAGATGGATGACAGGGACACAAAGTTCTCACAACTGAAAAATATGATTACATTCCTGGTTTTCTGCTTTGAGTTCAATTTGAAAGACAAGTAGCCACACTATGTTTTCAGTATGCTAGCATAGAGATCACTTTATGAAAACAAGCTCTTGATTGTAGTCATGATTTGTCCACTTTGTTGCTGGCTACCTCCAAAATAGCAGGTTGGATGGTGAATCTTTACAAGCCCACAGTCTACTTTAACGGGTTAGAAAAAGATCCCTCTGACATTGTCCTTGCCAGTTGCAATTTTGGCCATGTAAAGGCTCCTTCATAATTAACAGTATAATACATAAAACTATAGTTTTGATGTACTTGTGTCCCTTGACATACTACAGTAAGGTGGAAATGGTTCAATCTGACTACACAAGAACACATTACATCCCGTTCCATTAACTGATCAGATCTCAATCAATAAGCTAAAAATGGCAGCTTTTTTTAATCCAATGGCAATTTAAAGTTAAAATTTCTAAGGCATGTTTTAAAACTAAAGATCCTCCTGCATATACAATGTTGCCAAAACATAACTACTGCCCTCTAGTGTCACAATGGTGGCGGTACCGGTGACTGAAACAACCCGGTATGAACTCAAATGTTTGCTTTTTATACAGCATTATTCTTAACTGTGCAATAAATATATTTAAGGAACCTTCTAAAATAAAAGCAAACCTGGAAAATTTCAATTTGTGTTCGATATACTGTGAACAGTGACAGAAATTCTCAAGACAATTTGTGGTTTGAGCATTTCACGTCTTTATTTCTGTATTTTTTAAACAAGGTTGTGGCACCCAAGTCTACAGTCTCAAAAACGTGCACAAAAGTTTTTTTGTTTTCTTTCCTGCAAATAAAAAATAAAATAAATTGACTTGAGCAAAGAAAATAGCAAGAAACTAGTGCTAACTCACAACCTAGTTCCAGAGTTTCAATGATTTCAATTCTTAGCCTCATCACATTTAATAGACAGATCTGTCAGTGTCCAGGAGTTAATCCCCATTTGGTAGTTAAAAAAAATATTTCCTCCTTTTAAAACAAATATTTCATCTTTTTTTTTATTTTTTACTATATATCAGTCTTTACAAAAAAAGGGAGGAGAGCCCTCTGCATCTGATCCCTTGAGCCAAACCCAAATCCCCAAAACCTCCCATCCCAGCAAAACATCAACATATGACCTCAGGACCAGGAGAAGGGGGGGTGGGGAGAAAAAAAACCCCCCAAAAACAAACAGGAATGGCATGTTAAAGGGGGAAGAGAAAAAAATGACATGTGTAATAATACACATTTTAAATTATCTGGATAAATTCAACTGAGTGTTAGAACATTTGTCATTACCAAATATAGTTAGTGATGTGACCTTAGCTACGTGTTCTCCTCAGTGACACGAGTAATTCATATTACAAGCACTTCATTTGAAAAGGTGACAAACAGGGAGAATGCTGAATATATAAAGCAAGTGAGTACAGACGTGAACTGGACAGACTCGGTGAGGAAAAAGAAGGTGTATATAAACAGAATAAAACAGACACTATTCTTATTTTGATAATTTTCATTTTTCAAAGAAAAAAAAAATGACTGTACAGAACTAAACCTATCTATTCAGAGTTTTCCAACTCTACAACTCTGTGATGGCAAAGAAAGAAAAGAGAAGAGAGGGATAGAAAATAAAGTCAGATAACAAATCATTAAAACTTTAAACTTGACCCAAAAGGGGGAATTAAAATCCTCATTCTTTGCTTATTCTGACTAAAACCAAAACAAAGAAAATAAATAATGAGCTCAGGCGATCAAATCAGTGGCAGTTGACATTATTTCAAATGAGGAGGTGGTGGTGTAATATATAAACCCTTAGGTCGGACAGTTGCATTGACTGCTTTATGGTAGCCGATGATATAAAAGTGAGATTTAGTGCAGTTGCAGTGTCTTATCAGTTGGCTGCCAGTCCTGTGGCCTCAGAAGAAAGCCTGGAGAAACAGACAGGGAGACACCCGGAGACCAGGGAGGGAGAGAGAATAAGGCATGCAATCAGACAGACAAGATTAAATGTCAACCTCATTTACTGTACATTACATTATTATAATAAAACTCTATAAGAAGTCCATCTGGATTTATTTAATGAGAAATGTATGCTCTGACACAGAAAAAGGTCTTTAGAGGTCCCGTTTGTCGGCTTGTCTGTCAGATACTTAATGTTATAGTAACAGAGCTGCTATGCACTTTTATGCTTTCTTGCCAAACGTTAGATAAGTTCAACACCACTCTCATGCCTGTACACTAAAATGTAAAGCCAGCCACAGCCAGCTACAGCCAGTCACAACTAGATCTACCTACCAGCATCTCTAATGCTCAAGAATTAAAACACTGGGTACAGTTCATGTCTCTTATAAGATTGTTCCTTGGTCAACCGAGCACATAGGGTATTTCAAAGGTGTATCTCAATTGCCTTATTTTTTTCGTTCCTCGATCCTCACTCAACCTGGAGTTTGTTCCGGTCCACCGTGATGAAAGAACTTTATTTATGCTCTGAGGAGTGAGGAGGCTGCCTGGAGGAGCTATAACCGAGGATACACAAGTGTATCCTTTGCGGAAGTCTGTTGCGGATTGCCACGTCCCTTTGTTGGAACTCAGTCTGTGATTGGACGCTTCACCTGAAGGCTCGAGGAAAGCACGTCTCATGTCAGTTCCTGCATCTTACATTTTCCTTGCGTCTTACATGGGAGGGGAAAAAATGCGAGTGAGGGAAACGACAGTGCTTAAAAGAGACTTGGAATGTGCCCACAGTCTTCTTTATTTCTTCTGTAGAGAAACCAAAGTGTAAAAACCACACTTGTGCTTTTACAGGAAAATGGCCACACCAAGAAACAGCCTGGCACATAATCACCCCCCTCCTCCATTCGGTGTTGAGGCCAATATAAAGTAACCAGCTGCAAGCTCAAGCTACAAATTTACTGTATAGATATGACAGTGGTATTGATCTTATTTAACTCCATGAAGAATTAGCTGAAGCTAAACTGGCTGTATATTTCTGTTCGTATCAACAACATCTAAGATGATAATTTGGTGCCTTTGATACCTGAGGGCAGATTTACTTAGAATTGAAACTGTTCCTTACATAAACACAAAAAATGTGATACATATAATCTCCAACATGACAACTAACAACAGTCACTTAAAACTCACTACAAGAAAATCTATTTCCATAAATACAAGGTGACATCTTAAAGAGAGCCGCTACCTGAGCAGAGCTTACACAAAGAGAAATGCTTCAGTATATCAGTGACATAATTCACTGTCCATGCCAAGTTTAAAGTCATTTAAAAATATAATGCACTCAACATGTAATTTCTTTAGGAGACAGGCCAAATCAAGCTACAGATATCTAGTTTATAAATATGGCAGCGACCATGTGTCTGGCCATGTAACATTTGTGTGTTTTCTGTAGTAAGCATGGCATGGCACAGCCAGATACAAAAGCAAGTGCAGGTACAGACAACAAAGAGCATTGTCAGTACTTTAGTAGTAGATGACTTGTGTTTCTTTCATTAGTAAGGGGAGAGCCTTCGCCTTTTTGACTTGGAGCCCAGCTCTGGGGCGATTTTGGGCTCAGTGGGGATTGGGTGTGTGGGGTTACTGGCCCCGCTGACAACATGGAGGGCCAGGAGAGGGAGGGGCTTGAGACTGAGGAGACTTGACACACAGGCGGGAGAGCTGTGGAGCAGGGAATCAGTGGAGGAGGAAGAGGAGGAGGAAGAGGAGGGAGGAGGCGGCCCTGAAGCCAACAAGGACAGAGGAATGGAGGCTGAGGGGGGCACCACACAGGAGGTAGAGGAGGAGGAAAAAGAGAAGGAGGAAGTAGCAGCAGAGGAGGTGGTGGTGGTAGTGGTAGTAGTAGTAGTAGTAGTAGTAGTAGTAGAGGTGGAGGGAGGGCACAGGCTGGTCTGTTCAGGGTTCAAGGAGGAGGAGGAGGAGGGAGGTTTAGAGGACTCTACACTGTAGAAAGAGAGACAAGGAGAGAGGGACAACACAGTCGGGATGGGTCACAGGGCAGGCTGGTGGTGAGCAATGAGTGGGGGAAAGTTAGGGGTAGGAGGAGTGGTGGGGTGTGGGGGAATCACTCAGGGATGTGACCAAAACACAGGACAACAAACTTCATTAAAAATGAATGCCTTACTTAAATGTCAAAAAAATCAAAGATAAACAATTATTATAAAAATACATGTATAGCTACAGTAGAAAATGGGGAATAAACAGTTCTTAAATATTGTACAATACCCAAACTACAACATTTGATGCATTGCACACATATTCATGAAGGCCAATTATGCATTTGCATATGACATTAGGCATTCTTTTATTACTGTATCATTAAACATTAGAAGGACTGAAATATGAGAGCCCAGCACAACAGCCTGGGAGAGGACCAAATTTAGAAAATAATGAAAGTAAAACACTAGTTATGCCAATAACTTTTTTCTTTCACATCTGTAGTCAACAATTTAATCAGAACAGCACTGATCCAGCCAAATCTGACTTAAAATCACTAACTAAATGTAATGTGTAATGCAGTGCTCTGACTGAAAGAATCACCTGTCAGGAGCCAACACAGTCTACAATTGGTTATCTCACCTGGCGTTGATGAGGTACTCCGCCAGACTGATACTGGCAGGTGAGCCTGTGATGGTGACCTGACGATCAGTCGATCCATCCACTGGATTCGCAATCTTGATCTGGGCGCCTGACATTTGTCTGATCTCATTGATCTTGGCTCCCTGGCGGCCAATAATGCACCCAATAAGCTACAGTGGAAAAGGAGAAAAGTTAAGCTTACTAGACCATAAATAACATAATCACCACTGACCTCTGATAGTAACTTTAAATTAAAAGGCCTGAATAAAGAATTTTATACCATACAACTTTTTTTTTGTACTTTTTTGGTTTTTAATCAAACTGCAATATTCTGACAGAGATGGTCAACACTGGGCTCAAATTGGTTTAGTTGAATGACCAGAAAGCATTCCCTTACTTTGACAGTGGCAACAATTTACTTCTTGACAAACTTACATCATTTGGAATAGTCATCTCATGGGAGCTGGTTTGAGCAGAAGCATCTATCCCTGAAAATAAATGAACAAGGAAATAAAGGTAAAATAACCAATACAATGTGTTGAAACAGTCAAATCAAGCTATATGTATATTATAGAACATCAAATGTTGCTATTAACCAATTTAGGGTTTTTTAAGGCTAATAAGCCTAAATAAGTGAAAACGTTTGAAGCTCCAGATTTGGGGTTGCATTCACAGGCAGCATGGGGTCGTATCCTGCTGCATACCAGTAAATCCCTGGTTGCTTGGCGCGATGGGGAAGGGGCTCTGCTGCATAGCCAGCTGGTGAAGCTTGGTAAGCTGTGGGGAGATAGCAGCAGAGGAAGACTGTGAGAGTGAGAGGAGGAGGCAGGGAGAGAAGTGGGGGAAATACAGGAAGAGGGGAAAAACAGAACAAAACAAAAAAAAAAAAATCACAGTCAGTACAGACAGCTACTAAACAAACTGCAACAGAACAAAAGATTTTATACAAATCACTCAGTACTGTGGTGTGTAGGTAGATCTCTTATCCTTTCACAAAGCTCTTCATGGACCAATGGTCTCTGGCAGTCAGTGTGTTATGACCTCTCTATGTAGAAAACCCATAGGTATTCCACAAAAATGCAGGCTGCATCTCTTGGCAATGCTTTCTCCCCGTGTTCACGATCAGGGAAAAGTCACAATACACAAGAGAGGGAGCCCTCAATATGCAGGGGATTCCCTAAACACCAATACACAACCCAAACATAAACTGACACTTTACTAGTTATCACCAATATAGCAGGAAGGGAGGATCTGATGAGGTTTCTGCTACTTTAAAAAGCAGATTTTAGTTTCAATTAAAAAAAACTGCTGTAAGCAGTGACAGACTAATCAATCACACTGCTTTAAAAACATTTCTAAATTATATAAAAATGCTACTACATTATATCTGACTAATGCTTCTTTGCTCTCTCTCATCATATTCAGTCTATTGCATCCAATGTTCCTGAAGGTACATCTAAAGCTCATGAAAAGAAAAAGAAAGATCAACGCAAGTCAAGAGTCAAGAGACAAGTAAGTAGGGCACAAAGTCATAATGAACGGTTAATAAAAAGAGGATGAAAATGGACATGTTTATCTGAGACAGACTAATGAATAGAATATGTAAAAGGGAGAACAGAAAGAGTGAGCAGCAGGAGCAGATTATTATTATTCATGAACAGTGGAGAATCTGGACACAAACAAACAACAAATGTCAGTTTAGTTAACAACTGACTCCCAGTCAACTGAGGAACTACACAAACATTAAGTACTAACAACGCTGCTCTCTAAATGGTTACAAAATCTGATAATAGCAGGTCGAAGGGAGGCAAAATAAAATTAAATTACAGGGCAGGTTCGGCTACAGTTATAGCTGTTAAAAAAAAAAGGTGCGGGTGGATGGCTGCACATTTTGGAAGAGGACAGTTGTAATTACGGGTGGGAGCGGGTCATTAAAAATGTCTACTGCACTTACATCAGGCTGCGGAATCGCGTGCTGTCCTTGTACAGCATATGCCTGCAACAAATGAAAACAAAGCTTTCATAGGCCTCACATCGGATGTTGCCTGCCACCATACTTCTCTGGCTACATCCTTCTCATATACAAGTCTCTCTCCAAAACTCCAACACATCAAAAAGCTTTTAGGAGCATCAACACACATGTCCAAAGTCTCCACATTTCTGGAAAAAGAGAAATCTTTAGAGAAATAAGAAGAATTAAGGAAAATCGGAAGAAGAGATGTTTTTGTTTTCAAGGAACAAAGGTGTTTAGTAAGATATAAGCCCTTGTGTTGCTAGGGCAAAAAGCACCAGGAAGCAATTTCAGACCAACAGTAGGAAAGAGAGAACCTCACTTCTGAAACCTAATGCTCAGAAAAATTAAACCAACTTTAGTGAATTATACAAACTAACTGTGGAGAAATTGTTTTGTGATCATCTGACCAAGCTGCTCATACCATTCTCAGCTGGCACAAGCAGCTCTTCTTAAAACTGTTATCTGAACCTAAATACCTTCAAAAGCTCCTGCTTTAAATGATTATTATGGTCTTGCCCATTCAAATGCAAATATCAAAACTGAATGTCTTTTCAGATGTTTATCATACTTGAAGTATATTCTGAGTTTTGCATCATACATTAAGAATTCTCACAAAAACCCAAATGACACTGCTGCACAAACACAGTGATGCATCCTATGTACCTGTCCACCTGCAAAGATGACGGGGGATCCTGAAGGCTTGGGCCGGTAGGGGATAGTGACCCCCTTAGGCGGAGACTGTAGAGAAGAAAAAGCATGTGTCATTATACAGTACACTTGTTAAAAACCTAGCCTAACATACTGGGTCAAAAACAGGCAAAGCTAACAAGTTTTGCTTTAGGAAATTATAGCCATGGTTAAAACTACCCAAAGCATCAGCCCCACTTCTGTCAATCAGCTTAAGACACCCCTGGTCCAAACTCAACCAAACTCAACACACAGCAGCCACAAGTCAAGAGATCACAGTATTTCACATCATTAATTTACAGGTCAACAGCTGCCACTTCATTTACTTTATTGCTTGTATGTGTCCGCTTACCTCAAGCATAACCACACAGATCTGCTTCACACACTCAATTATCGACTGGGGAGTGCCAGCGATGGTGATGGCACGCTCTGTGGAGTTGGGGAGCATGTCACCTGCCACTTGTACCTGAGCACCAGTTGACTGAAGCACACAAACACAGAAAAAAAAGTCTATAAGAATACAAGACCTTCTGAGTGTTTGATGTACTAAATACCACAGATATAAAGGTGGAGTGCACACGGTTTTGTATTACATGTATACCTCTCGAATTTCCTTGATCTTGCAGCCACCTTTGCCAATGAGGGAGCCACACTGGCTGGCAGGCACCACAATGCGTAGAGTCACTGGGGGCTTGCTGGTAGCTGTGCTGTTTGTCATGGAGCTGCTTATGTCCTGGCAAAAATATGAGGAATAGAGATTCATCCACTTGGTGTTCAGGCTGGCTGCTGCTGACCTAGGAATCTATTAGTCAGTGTAAACTGTGACCTACCTCTTCCAGCTTTTCAATGATCATGGAGAATGCTTTAAAGATGGCGGTGGTTGGACCTGCCAAAGTAATGATCCTCTCAGGACAATTGCCCTCAGAGATGTTGATGCGAGCCCCACTCTACAAGCAAAAGGAAAAGCAAGGAACTGAAAGAAGAAATTTGGAAGCCGTCTGATAGTAAAGACAAATTATGCAAATCTTCCAACAGTAACTTACTGCTACAGCCCATTGTACTGCACAAAGACTAAAGTAAAGAAATAGATATAAAAGGTCTCACCTCTTCTCTCATCTTCTTCACAGATTCACCTTTCTATTAGAGAACCACAAATTCACTGTCACTTAAAATGGCCAAATCTTCACATAATGACAAAGTTTCAATCATATCAAAAAGCTTCTTACCTTTCCAATAATGCTTCCAACTTCCTAGAGTAGAGAGAAAGATTCATAAGGCAGAGCAATCATCCTGTGCCCCTCTGTCATAAATTTCTTAGTTTTTATAGTCATTGGATATAATCCATTGTAATAATTAAGGATGCTAATCACTGATCTGGTACTAACCAAAGCCATGGGTCTGATTCATCATGACTTTCCCAGTTCTCTGCCAGTCAAGCAGACAGTATCTGTAGGCCACTAATGCCCTGCCAGTAAGGGAGCCTGTTTAACAATTGCTATAGGCTAGCAGAACCTTTGGAGGACCATTATTTGGATGCATCACATTTTGATGTGATGACAGTATAAATTGATAGTAGTCCAATTATGAAGCAGGCACTTCTTTCCCCAAGACATGCCAGACCTTGACAAGTATAACTCTGCTCCCAGTAAAGAAAAACACATTAATATTATAGCACAAGGAGTCCAACTTGAGATAACACATTTAGACAAGAGGATAACATTGTCTCTTAAGTGGGCACACCAGCAGAGTAAAATGCCAAAACACCATTCCACTTTTCTTTGAGATCACTGAATCATTACCCTTATGCATCACATCAAAGTCCCACCCTCTGAGGTCCCAGAGGAACTTCATATACATAAATATAAAATGACACTGTTAAAGTGCAGACTCAAGCAGCTGATGGGTGACCTCACCTTCCCATGCATGAGCAGCCTAATGGTGAGGGTGACATTGAGCCCTCCTTCAATCACACCGGAGTCCATAACTGCAATGCGATCTAACCGTCCGTACAGAACTGGGTTCTTTGGTCACTGAGATGAATCTAAAGGAACATACAGAAATATAGCAGATAAGAAATTATATGCCATGGATGACAAGACTGAAATGGAACTGAGTAAAGAAAAAAAAAACAACAACAAAAATACAAGGGGGTAATAAAAGTAAGATATGGCATGCGTCTATTTCATCTATGAACCTCATCTGTTAGTGATTTACATATGATAAACCGTGTGGTTAACACTGAAGGTCTCTCTCTGTAGCATAAAGTTTTAGCAACATATGTTCTCGTGTTAAGTTCTTCATTGCATTGACATCCTGGCATTGGCTAATATATTCTATATCTTTTTGGGGTTTCACAGTTAAGAAGACAAATACAACATTACTTTTTAGCGACAGATTTAAATATCCTCAGATAAATTATTTGAAAGTCCCTGGATTCTAGTTAAAGTTGTGTAATTAACACTTGTGACAAACCAAAACATTCAATTCAACCACTGCAGACCAGGTCACACTTTTTGGTTAAATGTGCAAGGCTGGGTAACAACACAAATTTCACCTTCGTAAATAAGCATTAACCTATTAAAATAAATACTTAATGTGTGTCATGGACTCTGCTAACGTTAAGGCTTATAAAAACTAATGCTTATAGCGATGGGTCCACTTTCCCTGTGCCAGCTACATGCTGGTAGTTAGATACATTTATTTTCAAACATCTAAATACCTCAACCCAAGTTATATTACTCCAGACAAGTGAATTAGCGCTGAATCCGTCTCAATGCTAGCTGTAAAACATATGGTCTGCGTGCTAACGATGCCTTCATTAGGTGGGGAACAAGTTTGTCAACAAATGTGCGGATAATAAAGCCCTCATTACCACAGTTAGACATATTTTTAGTAATACACATAAGAGTATGCTCGGCATGAAAGGCAAATATTAAGTTACTGCTTCACTTGTAGTGTTTAACTTAAAGTAAGTCCGTTTAACTACTAATGCTAACGCTTGTTGGAAGTCTGTTAGCCATTTAGCATTTTAGTCGATCGCTGTGCTGGGAAAATGAATGGAGCATGCGTGCACTATTTAGCAAAGCTAGCTAGTTAGCTTTATTTTTGAACGTTATGAATAGCTGAACAGATATCGCCATCCTTAATGTCATGATAATTAGCCGTCTGCTGATTAAATGTGTGCGCTACATAGAAGAGAATAGGATTTAAGACGACATTATCAAACTTCCACGTCGCTATTCTAAGCTAACCAAATCATTATGTAGGGAGACTGCGTACTCATCATCATGCGGCCTGTTAGCACGCTGGACAAGCAGCAGCTAGCTACTGGGCGCGATTTCTTTCCCCTACGTCTGACCATAACAACACATATAAAACCACCAAATCAAAATAAAACTCACCTGACTCGTGCGCTGATAAGTGATCGGGGGGAGGGTTGGGGTTGTAAGGGTAGAAGGGGAGAGGTTCGGGAGGGTAGAAACCCGGGGGAGAGTTTATAAAGGACTCGGGGAAGAGGGAAGAGTGATGTGAGATCGAGCTCCACTCCTTTACACAAAGACAACAAAATTATAACCTCTGAACTTTCCCCTTTCACCCAACCCAAACCGCTATGCTGGATTTGACCCGAAGACGTCCCAGAATTACGCCCCTAAAAGGATACATGTAGCACATTTGTGGAGCATTATGCTATAATATGGCAGGTTAAATGGAAGGAGGTCATAAAAAACTAGTTATTGCGCTGCACTATATAAATATTGTACGCAGTGGTTTAAAATGTCACAACAATAAGCCCTGCAAATTTTTACCCACATGTTTTATCCATTTTTAACCATAATCGCCAAATGGGAATATGTTTTGGTACCGATTCTAATATGTTCATGTTTACAAACTTAAATAATACACTTATTATAGCACTAGTGGACATAAAGTGTATTGCAATTTAATTCACAACAAGTTAAATGCCATCTTAGAGATATCACAGACTTTGCATCGACATCTATTTATTGATCAGGACAAACTGTCAGCCCTTAATATATAATTACAATTAGTGCAGATGTAAAGCAATGCAGAATAACATTAATTAGAAAAAAGATCAGTATGCATAAGTAAAGACAGAATTTGTAATACCACCACATCAAGTTTAATCTAGCTAGAAAAAGAATGTTTTTACACATTTCCTTTTATTAAAATAAAAATGTCAGCTTTTCTGTTAGATTAGCTCAGAAATGTCTTCTGAAATGTTCACACACACATACACACTAGTATATACACATATTGCTGTTGTACAGAAACCTCAGTTATAGAAGATTATAAACACCACAAACTGGAATAAATGAAACCAAATTTACATTCACTTGGGGGAATACCAATAATCATTAATGCTGTGGTGACACTAACAGCCTGTGTTCTTATTTTTAGTGTTATAAACAGTGCATATTAAGTATACTGCGTAAGGATGACATTGTGTGCTTATGGTTAATAATTAGGTTGCACTTTTGCAAAGCAGTGTTTTCTGTTATAGTCTTATCTTGTACTGGCTGGGCTCAGTCTTAGTCACTGCTGCTGCTGCTGCTGGTCATTCCTAAAAAAGAGGATTTCATTTTAGAAATGCAAAATTTAGAAGAAATGTCAGACTAGGTGAAATGCTGGGAATAACATTCCATTATTGAGAAGGTCATAGGAGTCAAAGTGGAATGAAGAATTATCTGGCTAGTGACTACAAATCTGTTGCTATAGACTGCAATGGATCATGGATTTTCAGTTTCATCTTGCCTACAATCTTCTCAGAAAATCTGAAAGAGATGAGGGTTAAGAAGTTTTAATCTGTATATTTTCTTCTCAGCTTGTTGCTTTTTCTGTATTATTCTCAATAAAATCTTTTTTCCTGGGCTGGAAAACAAACCCTTCCTAAAGTTGCAGGTGAGGCTGAGGAAAACTACATCCAGCACCCAATCAGGACAGGCACCCCACCGGGATGTGTGCTCTTCCCCCTGCTCTTCTACCTCTACATCAATGACTAATTCAGGGGACGTCTCTGTTCAACTCCTGAACTTCTGAATATGGAAGCTTTTCTGCCTAATATCAATAGATCGTGTCTCTCTCTCCTATTTTTCTATTTATCCGGATATTTCTCACATTCCTTCTCCTATTGATTACACATTTTTCCTATGATTACTCTAGGTTTTATTTAATTGTTGTATTTGTTGTGCTTACAAAGCACAATTTGAGCCTCTGTACCAGAGTCAGATTCCTTGTGTGTCTAATCATGCTTGCCCAGTAAAGTGCTATCCTCTTATCTTGTTTCAACATTAATAATGCTCCTGCAGGCAGGGCCATTTTAACTAATCTTACATGGTGTACCTTTAAACTCAGTCTTACCTTGCCATGTTTGTGGTGCCCATGCTTGTGCTCCTTATGTGCTTTCTTCATCTTCTTCTTCATCTTTTTGTCGGCTTTGTGTCCAGTCAAGCCCATTCCCATTCCTGCCAATCCTCCAGCTACTGCTCCACCCATCGCTCCATGATGATGATCTTTATGGTGGCCTTTATGGTGACCCCCTTTTGGAGAGTGTGGGTATTGGCATGGATGAACACCTGCAGGAGGGACTCCTGGAGCCACAGGATAAGAATAAGGCCCTGGAGCTCCGTAAGGCATTGCCCCTGGTGGTGCATTTGGTACCATGGCTGGGTTCATACCAGCTGGGTAGGGGCCAGGTGGGCAGGGGCCAGGTGGGCATACTGGATTTGAAGGTTGAGGGAAGACCCCTGGGGGAGGTACAGCTGGACTGTAGCCAGGAGGCGCAGCTGGACTGTAGGCAGGAGGGTAGATGGGGTTTGAAGGACCTGATACAAATACACACGTTCTTCAGAACACATGTATCATAAAACAAGTCATACATTATTTTGATTATGTGCTGATTATGTATGATATCTCACCTTGATTTGGCCACATGGTTTTTTTTTTTTTTTGTGAGCTGACAAGTGAAATATTTCAGGAGGAAGCCTGGGGAAACAATGAGAAAGTAAATGCAATGAATATTTGCTTAAGTAAAATGACATAACATGCAAAAAGCAATCTTTATTAAGGATATAACTGCAGAAAATTCAAATCATCTTAGCTTCTTCCCCATCCACTGCAATATTAAAAAGCTGGATCATAGTAATTCAATAGCCTCATATAACAGTAGGCTACTGTCAAGGACTATTTTGCTGGTATTACTCAAGTTAAAAATTTTAATAGTCTTTACATTTCTATCGTAGTCTTGCTGTTTTTTCACTTATATAACTTTAGGCCATGGCTATTATAACGTTAGGCTACAACGATAAAGTATAACGTCTAACTAGTGTTTTATTTCCCTAAACAACCACCTAACGCTAGGCAATTTCGAGGCACTTTTTCCATATGACTCTATTAATTTGACGTGACATTAATTACAAAAAAAGGGTAAACCTCATCAAACTGTTGTGGTTTCAGGTAGTTTAGTTCCACACACGCCACTTGTAACAGCTGTTTGTCAAGCTTTAGATTTGTTATCCTTACCGTATGAACCGAGCTCCGTCTGTTTGTCTTCCGCATTGAGCTACACGGAAGTAGTAAAAAAGCAGTAGGACGTCACGCCCATTGTTAAAGGCTACGCACGTTGCGCAAGTTTTAGGTTTTTTTTTTTTTTTTTTTTTTTTTTTTTTTTTTTTTTTTTTTTTTTTTTTTTTTTTTTTTTTTTTTTTTTTTTTTTTTTTTTTTTTTTAGTTTTAGTTTTTTTCCAATACTTTATTGAGGCATATGACAGTAGTTTTACATAAGCAAATAGATCGGAAACAAGAGGACTATAACATAAAATAAAGAACATAAAAACAAGGACAACATCGAAGCAGACAATGTGAACATGAAACTTTTAGGCCGCCAGGGGGTGACTTAATGGTACGCAAGTTTTAGGTGACAAGCTCAAGTTTCTGTAGTAAAAGATAGTAATAATGGAATTTATTTCCTCCCAACCATTGTCAATGATCTTTTTTTTTAAAGAAATTTTTAAAAAATCACTAAAATGGTCGCAAAAGTCGCTAAATCTAGCGATAAATTTTGCAACACTAGCTGTCTGAAATGACTACTCCAGTTCTGAAAAACTCTTCTTCTAACCTTTGCCAAGTGGCAGGCGGGGGCTACTGTATAAACCAATTCTTGAAAAAACAGGGCAGAGAATCTGAGACAATAACAGAAGCGCTGTAAGAGAGGGACCATGTCCAGTCCCGTTTTTACTTGAATTATCAAACATTGTGTGAAACCTTAGTTAATGCACCTTTAAACCTGGTCTCACCTCATGATGATGATGGTGATGCCCATGATGGTGCCCACATTCATACCCATAATCTTGCCAATAATGGTGCTCCTTACGCTCCTTCATCTTTTTGCCCACTCCAGCAGGATGTTTGTTGTGGACTTTATGGTGACCCCCCCTATTGAAGAAAGTAGGGATGGACCTGATTCTGAGTCAACACCTGCAAGAGGAACTTTCTGGTTTTGACTCAATTTAAGATTCTCCAACAGAATCGTAAGGCCACAAAGAGACCTAAATATTGGAAGTCAGTGGCTGACTGAACTTATTTTGTTATTGTGTTATTGATTAATTTACTTATTTACACCTGCTTTTGCCAGCTTATTGACTCGGCTTACTAGAGTATGTAGTTAAATGTGACATAGCCATCATTAACAGTAGGGTTAGTAAGTCAAAATGTCTGATGCGGAAAAAAATCCTGTTAAATTAAGTGTATCTAGTACTTGCAAGTATTTTTTAAAATTATTATTTAAATACAAAACCATAATCATCAGTTCTATAAAATTAAGCAAATAATACAAACCAACAATCCTCTTGTTTTTTTGTTTTGTTTTAAAAAAAAATCATTTCTATTATGACATTATATACATGGTTTTTAATTTTTCTATAATAAACATGGATTACAGTTTATTAAAACAATTTTGAATAGACAGATATTAATGGAAACCTGTTTAAATCAAAGGGCATAGCTACACAGTTAAACATGAAAAGCACACAAAGAAAACTGTGCAAATGCTTGATATGTAGACTACAGTAATTCAACCTGGGTGAAAACGTCATGGGAATAGTGAGCAAAGAGAGGCTAATCTGTCTACAACACATTGAGCAGTCAGCCGGGCTTCTGGGTCACAGTCCCAACAATCTTCCAGGAGCTCCTGCAGTTCAGATCCCTGTAAATTTGAACTTTAAGTCAGTACATTCACAAACCCAACTAACTATTGCTACAGTCAGCATGAAAACCATGTTTCCGTGTAAGAAGCACTAGTATAAGAATACCTGTGGCAGCAGCTTCCAGTGTACTGGCAAGGAAGGTCTCATTTCCATGTGAAAGACAAACTGGATGAGGCTCTCTAGTGTTACGTTGGCTCCCAGCTCATATTCATAGGGCAAAAGGTGCTGAGGAACAACACCACCTACAGATGGAGACAGTGAATTTCTACAGTTTTACATCACAGACAAAGTATGTCAAAACAGTACACAGCGATTACTCATATCACCCTGGAAGGGAATTCTGAATGATTGATGTGAATGATGGTCCTATCTATCTATCTAGATTAAGAAAGTTTAAGAAAGTTTACCCTCACATAAATCAGAGCAGTGCATCCAGATCTCCCACAGCAACAATGCCAAAGAATAGATGTCCCCCTGCATGAAACAGAAGCTGTTCTTTAGGTTTACAGAGCCTTCCAGGATCTCAGGGGACATGTACTGCAGCATGCCCATCTGAGAAGGATCCTGAAAATGGACAGAAATGTGAACTTCAACATGTTGTAATTCATTCTCAGAGAACAGGAAAATTTAATAGCCACAACTGCAACCATCCTGCACAAGTCACTTTTTACAGAATTTCTTTGATGAGGTGATAGTTCTCATAATTTCACTGTGCTGTGAATTCATATTAGTAAGTTGTGAGGTTGTGAGTCCACCTGCATCTCACCTCCATGATTGTAGTGTGGCTTCCTGAACAGGAATGCAGGATGGTGGAGCATCCAAAATCAGATAGGACACAGGTACCATCTGCTCTCACAAGCACACTGAAGCTGCTGAGGTTTCTGTGAGCCACAGGAGGTTTATGCGCACCTGCAAGACACGTGTAATTATAAAAAGAATCTTATTTGGCTCTTTAACTGCAGTGGACTTTATAGATAAAAAAGGCTCACTGTTCATTCATTAAGCCTGTTGCCTCCCCAGTGATGGGCAAGAGATGGAGCCACTACATATGACAGGACAGAT